CTCCAGGTGCAAGCGGCAAGGACCATACTGATCGAGTGCAGTATCTCAGTGTCAAAATCTCTATTCCGCCATCCCCAGCACTGAAAAAATGCGTCTTCTGCGAGGGCCTCAACTTTCAAGTACATGCTTTACACAGGAACAAAGCATGTTATCTTAGTTACTGTATGTTGTATCATGCCTCTCTTAGAATCATCTTCTGTCCTTGTGGGGACAACATCGTAGCTTGGCTGTACAATGGGTTTGGCTGTCATGATCACGGATCCCATTCTCTCTACACCGTCACCTCCAAAATCACCTCACCATTGCCGGAATTTGGCCTCTCCAATGAGTGACGTTGCCGGCAGGTGGGACAACTGATCTCACGAATGGAGGTGGACCTGGATCTGGCGGACCGTTGCCACCAAGTATCAAGGCACTCGGCATGAAAGATGTGCCTGACTCACGGCACGTGCAAGAAAACAAGGTAGGGAGAATTTTAGGGGAGAGCATGGGAGACATGTGACGCGCGCCAGGGTCCTTCCGGAGGTGTTTTGATGGTGTTTTGCTCTTGGGGGCAGGCCGGCCCCGACACGTTGGAGCTTGCCCAGTCCCGATCTTCAAGCAAGAGGTTGCAGCTAGAGACATCCAAACAAAGACCAGAATCATCGATGTTTACTACAACCAAAAGGATCAGAAACCACAGGATCGAAAAAGTTTGGATCCTTTTTGTCAGATTTCTCACCAAGTCACTGGCAGGTCAATTCTCTCACAGATTCGCCCGAAGACACCTCGTCCAAGCAAATGACGCACAAACCGCTTGCTTTCGCCGGCAGCACCGGCAGAGTCTCGTTCAAGGCCTCACGCGAGGCCGGGGCAGGTAATCCATCAAATCAAATCCATCCACAGTGGAAATGTGTGCTTTGATAGGGAAGAAACAACACAACGAGAAAGAGAGAGAGAGAGAGACCACATGATCTTTCTACGGCTCCGGCCTATGTGACAGTGCGTCTTCTCTTTCGGTGATGTTCCCTTCGGTGTTCCGAAATCGGTTCAAGACCGGTCTGCACCAGTCTTCAATACATTCTTCTCCATTCTTCTCACGACTCGTCCGAGTTGCTACGACTTCGAACGCAACCTGACACGTCCAGTTCCAGCTGATTCATTCGTGATTTCGTGTCACGAGTGTCAGGTTGAAGTCGATCCCTTCCTTCCTTCTCCACCCCATCAGTTGACCCTAAAAACATCCCAGGCGAACTCTGAAGATGCCAGATCCTCCCGTTTCCGCGGGCCGTCGAACGTACTGGTCCGTCGGGCCTCTAGATCCTGGTCCGTAGGGATCCCCTTTCGCGTCCGCATCCTCGTGGCGAGCTCAGCTTGTTCAATCCTTGGGTGTACAGAGTTTTCAGATGTCTTCAGATGTTTACAAGCCTATATAATTACAATAGAAAAAAGATGGAAAAAAAGGAACACCATAATTCCAAAAAGATCAAAATTAGGTGCTTTGGGATGGTAAGAGAATGTAAGAGACATGACCTTTAAAACTTTTGGTAGGAGTCCCAACTTGTGGTTTGCATGGGGCATATCCAAAAATCTTGGGGCGATGAGAATTCACATCTCATGACAAAGACGTGCCCACGGGGCAACCTGGGTTTCCGAAAAAGGGGACCGACCGAACAGCGCGCAGCCGTGTGTTTTGGGGTGTTTCACCACGATGGCCTCCAATCTAATGGCAATGGCCTCCAACCTACTAGCCATGGCCTCCAACCCAATAGCGATGGCCTCCAACCTAATAGCGATGGCCTCCGAATGGCCTCCAACCTAGCGATGGCCTCCGAATAAGGACAGAACAGCCAGGGAACCGGGTCTCGCGAAAGCGCAGGAGACACACGACCTCGGTCGGATCCAAAGAGGGAAGAGTCCAGGACAACACCACTGGATCGAACGTCGAGGACGACGCCGTTCTGATTGAAACAGGACTCGACGTTGCCTGGGGCACTGTTTCTATCGCCTGGGGAAGGTACTTAGATGAATCTGATGTTTTCAGGTTTTGAGGATCAAACTCATTCTCAAAAATGTTTGGTTTCTCGGACTTGACCCTGGGACGAACAGCATGTGATCCCTTCAGTCCATTCATCACATCAGATGTCAAGCAGCGGAACCGGCTTGAGCAGGGGAACATGAACAGACTACCAGGGTCAAGCTACGAGGCTTTGCGGTTCCAAAACCTCTGACCCACAGTCATATGTCTTAAGCAGCCAGATCCCGGGTCCGACAATGAGGTCGTCCACCCGGTCAATCCAGTCTTCCAGTCTACGAAGCATGAACCATGGTTGGCAAACATGGAGTGACAGTCCAATAACATTACAAATGTTAAAAAAATGATCTGCTGGCATCCACAAGGAACGTATGTAGATTGGACAGCTAGATTTGGGGGCTGGGGAGAAAGATTGTCTATCCCTTTTCTTCACTGTAGGGCATGAGTATGCATGAGTCAAAGAATACTTGACCTATCTTGACCTGAATTCAAGCGCTAGACCTTTCAAGCGCCTGGTCCAGAGTCCAAAAACCATCTCTTGGACGGTCTGGTTCGAGGCGCTACGGCAAAGAGCCCAAACAATGGCAGCATCAGCAAGCTCACCACCATAGCAGTCAGCTCCATGGTGCACCGTGACCGTGACGGACGGAGGACGAGTCGGACGAGTGGCGGACAGACCAGCGAGGTCACCGGCGTGTCACACTGCGCGTCACACTGCGCCAAATGGCTTGGTCACATTGAGCCGACCTAAGCAGCCTAAGCAAACAGCCTGCGGTGATGGACAGTTCAGTACCATGCCGAATCGCGCCGGTTTAGTTTCGCGACGAGCATGACGGAAGATCCCCTTGGTGTGATGTGTGGTGTGTCTACAGGCTCGTACCCATCCACGCGAGACAGAATTGTTCCAAAGATGCACGTTACACTGGTTACACACTCACAGATCTGGAGGGATCACTGCCGAAAAAAAAGGAATCCCAGACACTCCATGAATGCCTACGTCCTCTGAAACCTCCCAATTCATGTAGGTGAATATGACACACATCGAGTGTCAGGTGTGTCAGGGCTTAGGAAATGTGAATCCTTTTGCAGAAAAAAAAACCATTGAACCCTCCTCAACCGTTTAGCCGGAACTCTTCGATCGGAGGGACCCTCCCGACCCGACACCGAAGGGGTGGACACCGGTGGACACCGCGTGGGTCGAATCCAACCCCTGACCAAACGAGTCTGGGGCGATGCTCCACTCCCCGGACCAGCTGGGAGAAGAAGCAGCTAGGGGGAGAAGGTCATCATGGGTCACCACCGATTGAAGCCAGGAACCCGATTGGGCGCCGATGGAACCCGGAACTCGTTGGATATCTTATGTCTCGGTGACAGGTCACCCCTCTGGCTGACATGGGACACGAAAGCCCCTGCCCCAACCTGGTCTGGTGTGGAGTTCATTGAGCGAATGGAAGCCCCTGGCGAAGGTAGAGTCAGTGACTCTTCACCCTAGAAGTCAAACCACCATTGTTTTATATTGTTTTAATAGCCGGGTCATCCCGAACAACCATTGTTTCACTAAGGTTTTTACACTACAAAACCAGATCGTTCCCATTTAAAAAATGGTCGACTTGACTTCCAGGGTATTCAGTTTCATGCGATACGAGACTCTCAGTGTCTAGGATCGATACGTCGGCCGAGTCGCGCCCTTCGGGGCCTGTGGTGGACATGGCGCATCACCGCGTGATTCGGCGAGTGATTCGGTCGCCTTTGCAATCGCTGGTTGCATTCTGGAAGTGATACACATCCACCAAAGTTCGTGCGGGCACTGCAGTCCTGGACATCAAATTGAGGGGTAATACAGTCCCTAGAAGTCCAAAGACTATATTTGGAACGGCTGAAGTAAAGGAAGTTCCCGAACTCAGGTCCCCTAGTCAGACCATTCTTTTTATAGTCGACTTGACTCCCAGGGTGGTTCATCTAGGCTGTGTTCGTTCCTCCAAGCACGGTCAAAAACCATCAACTGACACCTTCGCCTATTCCTTAGGTCTTGTAAAGGACCGGTCCAAGAACCACGACCGCAAGAATCAGGTCTTCAGAAGATCCCAGAATGTTCCCTTCTTGATCTGTGGCCTCCCCTACGATCTATCCAGATCAAATACAGGTAAAAGCCTGAGAGCTACAGATGTCGAAAGAAACTTGGCGAACGAACACAATCCCCCTTGAGGCTTCAGGCATTGTTGCTCACATAGCTTCGGGCACCTTTAGCAAGTTATAATAGATCGAGTTAGACTGTTCAGCTTGATCTTCCGTCACATTCATCTGAACCAACTGGGTGAGACACCGCGATAGTCATCTGTAGGACTGTCCGAGTCATCTGGACGGTTCTTTCTTTCTGTCACGGCTGCAGATCTGGCAGAAAATACTGCAACCGATTGCAAGTGGTCTATGTGCTACATGAACAACGTATGTAAAAAGAAGGCGGAAACCAACAAAAATCGTGTGTGGTCTGCAACGTCGTCACTGATTTTGCTCGAGAATCGGTTTGTTACCAAAAGCAACCGCAATGTGTGCGATCGGATCCTCAACTGTGCTTGCCTCCTCCATCAGACCCAAATGTATTTGTCAACGGAGTCCCTTCTGTTCACCCACATGCTGCTAAAATCGTTTCACCTTTTCCCTGAGCTAACAATACACTAGACAGTCTGTAAAATTAACTGTATAACCTTCTTCCTTGCAAAACAATGTGAAACCTCGGCTGCCCTTGCCTGTGTCTAGAAGTGCTGCTAAGTGCTTCTGCAAAGAAAGAAGCACAGCTGAGTGATTCTGCGCATGGTCCCAGTGTGCGTGCTTTATGAGAGCATCCCTTCTTAATGTCACAGCGCAATGGACCAAACGTCCAAAGTGTTCAAAGGAAAACCAAAAAAAATCGTAAAAACCGTCCAGAAGAGAGTGCGACTGCTCATCCGAGGTCCCAGTTCCGACTGTCCCAGGCGCCGCGGCTTTTTACGTCCAGACCGTGTGGCACCGAAGGCTTCGCCGCCGCGCTTCGCCGCCGCGCGGCTACCCGCCGTCTGGCATGCCCTCGACCGGAGTCCAACCTGATTTCGTGGGGCCAGTTGGCTCCGTTTCGTGGGGCGAACTCTCAGGTTGGATCTGTTCATGGGGAAAAAAGAAACTAACATCTTGCAGGTCAGCATGACTCAAGTGGTAGGTGCAGGTCCGCCCGATCTGGCGCTGGTCTGGCGCCGCTTCCGCCGAAGTCCTGCCCCCGCCCTGAAATGCTTTGGAGGGGGTGCCAGCCCTGAGCCGAAGCGCATCTGTAATCCTCAACTTCAAGAAGCTTGGCAATGGAAGGACTGGGGGCTCTGACAACGTCCAGAAAATATGGGTGAAACCACCCTGCGCTGAATGATGTTGAATGTGCCCATGACCGTGAAGATAGCTGGTAGGAGAACAATCACCAACTGCCGAAACTCAGGTGTTGGCTCCAAGCCACTTGCAGCAATAAGCGCCAATTTGGACTCAAACACAGCTGGGGGCGAATGTCTAGCCAAAAAGTGTTATCCCCCTCTCGCCTGGGCATTCACCATAGAGCGCGGTGTGACCTGGGTGTTTCAATGACAAAGGGGGGCTGCGAACAGTCAGGGACCATGAAGGAAAGTCACAAAGGTTTGGCCTTTGACCCATCATCTGTGTATATCTGTGGGGGCACAGTCTTGATTGACCCGGAAAGCCTCTCCCAAAGATTCCCAGCATCTTTATTGATCAGACACAGTGAATATCTGGCACCCGCCCAACCAGTTCCGAACTTCTGCCCAGCGTCCCGTCCCTTCCGACGCGCGTGTGTGAGCGGGGCGCGTTCCTGATAGGGAGATATAGGGAGTATATAACTGGCACAGAAAAGGCAACATCTCCAGCATCTCTTGCAAGATTCTACTCTACCTTCCTATGAAGACGGTTTTGGACACAAGATGTGTTGCTTGGGTGCCATGCCACCCGCAAAGGATACAACAGGTCCGGAGTTTCAGTGAGAGTGGTATGGACGGACGGACAGACGGATAGATAGATGGACAGACTTCGACATGTCGGTATGGTGCCACCCAACGGTCCTTCCCTTTCACGGGAATCGGGGTGCTTGGTGAACCCCCAAAAAAATGAAGAATCCCACTCTTGATGACTCTGATCTGCAAGTGAGTTCTTGTTGCTCTAGGAACAGGTTTCCAGCCAGGAATGGGGACACCCATCGGATTCTATCTGAAGTCCACCACAAGGGCAGCACGGCAGCACCATCAAGAGAGGCAATAAGAACTGATCCTTTCGGAAAGTCCCATCGGCATGTTCTTCCAAGACCGCGCGTGGTGGCGTTCCAAGACCTTTTCATACCTTTTCACCGATGTCCCTTCCAATCATTGAGGTGTCCGACTGTCACCCTGCTTGCAAAAGGAATAAGCACACCTTGGCAGGCGAGATGCAGTCCTTCCGGTGGTGTTTCAATGTGCTTTGGCTTAGGATTGGACATATCGCAGCTTTGTCCAAACCAAAAAAACTGTGTGCGTGTGACATGTGTGACGCCTTATGTGGGCTGTTCCCGCTGGCTTCTGTGAAACCACGCAAACAACAAAACATGTTTACATATATATATATATGTCAATTGGCCATGTCTGCCACCAGTCACTTGCAGGGCTGTCGTGCACTTCCGTTCGTCCGAAGGCCATTTCGCGACTCGAGGCATCGCAGGAAAAAGGCCGCCTGGTCCGCAGGGTCGGACACCTTGGTAGGTGTTTTGTGATTGGTAGCGGAGCCGGTCGAAAGGGACCGGCTCCGGGTAGGATCCCTGAGTTGCGCCATGTCTGCCGCCGCTCCTTTCGACCCTGGAGGTGGAAACAATAGGGTATTCACTGGTGATGATGAAGATGCCAAGGAGTATCGAAGATGGAAGATTTGGACTGCCAACAAGTTGCTGACGCTCAGCGACAAGGTGCCCGCCACGGCTCGTGGCGCCTACGTATACACGTTGTTGGGTGGCAAGGCCTTGGAGGCCGTGGAGCATTTGGAACCATCCTCCTACCAGAAGGAGGGTGGCGAGAAGGTGCTGTTCGAGCTTCTGGACCGTCGGTTCCCTCAAAAGGAGGCTTCGGATGAGCTCAGTGAGAATCTGACCAGGATCTTCGAGCTACGAGCTCATGAAGGAGAATCTCTCAAGTCGTGGGTCAGTCGAGCTTCCGAGGCTTTTGACAACCTGCAGCGCAAGACGAACGTCTCCTTTCCGGAGGAGGCGAGAGGATGGCTCATCCTCCATCGTTCAGGTCTCAATGCTGAACAGGTTGCCGTCGTGTTGGCCAGATCCCTGGGAGTGCTTAAGCGTGAAGAGGTTGGAAAGGCGATGCGCAGCTGTTATCCAAATTTCTCTGCACCCAAGCGCCGTGTTGCAAGCGCTGCCCTGGTTTCCGAAGAAACCCTGCTGGCTGATATGTTGGAGGACGACGAGAACGGTCAGGAGCCTTCATTTGAGGACGTTGAACTCCTGCTGGCTGATGACACTACAGCTGATGATGGAGAACCCGATGATGTGTTTGACGAACGTGACATCAAGGAGACCTTGGCTGTCACGTGGCAGGAGAAGCGGAAAAGCCTGGCTCGATTGCAGAAGGATCGCAAGTTCCATGATGCTGGCCACCTTCGACGACAGTTCCGAGTGGAGGTGGAGGAGCTCAAACGTCGTACCAGATGCCACAAGTGTGGCCAGGTGGGACACTGGTCCAAGGAGTGCCGCAATTCGAGCAAGGGCTCAAAAGGGAAAGGCAAGGGTCATGGTAAGGCCCCAGCAACCTCCAGTGAGTCGGGAGCTGCTCTGGTCGAACATTTTGTTGCCATGGTGATTCCAGAGTTGACATTGCTTCAACGAGTACGAGCTCTTCATTCCCCACTCGCTCGAGATCCCCCTCAGGAGCTGCTCTTAGTGTCCAGTCCAGGATATGGTATCCTGGATTCTGGGTGTGGTCGTTCCATTGTGGGAGAGGATACACTGAGCGAGTTCCGTGAGCTGTGGAAAGCCCAGGGTTTTGTTGATCCTGAGCCCATTCAAGAGCTGAACCATTTCCGTTTTGGGAATGGTGCCCAGGAAACTTCGCATCAAGTGATTCCCATGCCGGTCGTGTTGGGAGGTCGTTGTGGGGTGATCAAGGCAGCCCTTGTGAAAGGTCGTGCTCCCCTGCTGATTTCTCGGAAAGCCCTGATGACGCTTCAGGCCAAGATTGACTTTCAGAAGGCCGAACTCACCCTCTTTTCAGACGAAGTCAAAGTTCCTCTTCAGACCAACACCGCTGGCCAGTTCATTGTAAACCTGTTGGGTGACAAGACTCCTCATGAAGCATCCTTTGAGGAAGTCATGGAGACACATGTAGTGCCGCCTGCTGAGCAGCCGCCTCATGACGCACCTGAGTCCGATTCACCGCCAGCTGCTCAGCCGCCCGTGGATGAGCCGCTCACCCCAGGACACCTGTCGATTTGGTCTCGTATAGATGACGGGTTGAGATTTGCACCACTCACCGGTAAGCAAGGTCCTAGTTGGAACCAGGTCGTACGTCGCCGGGTCACCGATTTCGTGTCTGGGGAAGTCATCCTCGATCAACAGATAGAACACCATAAGGGCAAGAACCAATATCACACGTTGATTCCACCGCAGCACGTTCGAGTGAAGACTGAGTTCTTTTTCCGGCCACAGGAGAAGATGTGTCCTACTGAGTGTCTGCCAGTTCATCACTTGAGACAACTGAGAGCTCAGGTGAAGTGCACGAGCGCATGTCCAGCCACCATGATCAAGGGTCGCCGATTCGTTGTAGCTGAAGTTTTCAGTCCACCTCGATTCGCACCTGTCGCTCAAGAATTTGGGTTTCATGCGACATCATACGATCTGATAACCGGATACGACTTCACTAAGAAAGAGCATCGCGACCTGGTCCGAGAAGAGCTGGATATCTCACCACCTGACCTGTTGGTCCTGTGTCCGCCTTGTACTCATGAGGGAGGCTGGTGGCATCTCAATGCGGCCAAGCTGCCTCCGCATCTAGTTCTGAAGCTGAGGATGCGAAGCCGGATGTTCATCAAGTTTTGTCTTGAGCTGTTTGAACAACAGGTGTCTAAAGGTAGGTTCGCTATGTTCGAGCACCCCCTTGGATCTCAAGTTTGGACACTCCCTGACATGAAAAAGCTGTTGAACCAATTCTATTCAACCAAGTTGCACATGTGTCGGTATGGTATGAAGATGCCTGACCATGATTGTTTCATCCGGAAGCCCACCCGGCTTTTGATCAGTCATCGAACAATGGAGTCTCTAGGGCTGGTTTGTCCAGGAAAGCAACATCCTCAGCACGAGTGTCATGATGTGATTGCCGGTTCAGCAGTTGGTGTCGGTTCCATTAGTAAGTTTGCAGGTCAATATCCTCCAGCGTTTGTTGAGAGTGTTCTTCGAACTATTCCTGCTTTCGCCAGGGTCTGGGAAGCATCCTTAGTGCAATGTGAGGACGAATCGTTCTCACATGTGGTTGAGGAATGTCTGGCGGCCCACCGCGAGGATCTGACACAGCCGGAGGTCGAGGACGCTCGAGTGAGTGGTGCCCTGATTAAATTGCACAAGAACCTAGGACATCCGTCCAACACTGATTTGGTCCGAATCCTTCGTCATGGTCAGGCTTCGCAGAAGGCCATAGCCATGGCCCGGGATCTGGTGTGCGATTTTTGCAAGGCTCACATCAAGCCTCATGTGCCACTTCCAGCACAGTCGGGTCGTATCACTCAGTTCAACCAGTTAGTCGGAGTGGATGTGAAGTATCTTCCGGGCTGGTTGCCTAACCAAAAGATTAAGTCGGTTAACATGGTTGATCAGGGGTCGTGCTTTCAACAGATTGTTCCCTTCTTTGAGCAAGAGACATCAATGTTGCTTGGCAAGATCTTTGCCGAAGCCTGGGTCCGTTGGGCCGGACCTCCGGAGTCTGTGATCGTCGATCCGGCACAAACCATGTTAGGTGAGGCATTCCAATCGTATCTAGAGTCCATGGGAACCCACTGCAAAGTCATTGCTGCAGAAGCACACTGGCAATTAGGCCGCACGGAGAATCATGGGGGTTGGTTTGGTAGGATTCTGCAAAAGATGATTGATGAACATTCGCCCTCAAACAAAGAAGAATGGTTGGAGTGTGTTGGACATGCACGTGTGAAAAATCAGTCCATTCAATCGTATGGCTTTACACCATTTCAACATGTGTTCGGCAAGAATCCAAACCTTCCTGGAGACTTGATGTCTGAACCCCTCCACATTGTTCCGGCCACCGTGGGTCTTCATGATGAAGCCATAGCTCGCGCACAAGCGATGCGTCGGTCTGCTCGCATGGCCGTGGTAGCTCTCCAGGATGACAAAGCAGTTCGCGCTGCCATGTCCGGTCGCCCTAGAGTGGTCATGGAATTCAAAGCAGGTGAACTGGTTGCCTATTGGCGTCAACAGAAGGTCATTCAAGGGACTGTTCAACAAGGGGGTAGATGGCATGGCACCGCAGTTGTCATCGGCGTGGTAGGCAGAAATGTAATTGTCGCCCACCGGAAACAGATTTTTAGGTGTGCTCCTGAGCAACTCCGGCCGGCAACCTCCGAAGAGCGTACCATGATTGAATCCCCTGAAGCTGAACTGTTAGGTATCAAAGACTTGATTGAGGGTGGAACCTTCAAAAGCAAGCAGTATATAGACCTAGTGCCTTCGGAATATCCTCCTTCTGGCATTGAGTTGCCAGATCCATCAGGGCGTCCTGTGGCGTCTCAAGCGCACGAGTCGGCTGAGCCGAGCCAAGACGCTGGTCCCTTCGAGACTTCTTCTCCGGGAAGCAATGTAGACATGCATGCCATAAAATCGCATGATGCCGAGGAACATGAGTCAGAATCTCAGATCAAAGATCGTGCCGTTGAGCCTTATGTGAATCCCAAGTCCCTACCATATGTCCCGGAAGAGGAATCCTCGTATGGTCCAGTGCGGCGTAGAGTATCCACCAAGTCTCAATCGTCTTCACTGTTTCGGCCACCAGCAATGCAAGCGGATGATTTCTCAGAGTTGATGAAAGACCTCGTGCCATCTCTTATCGAGAATGCCATTTCTAGTGAGCAGGGAACATCAAGCAGTTCTGCTTCATCTGCGGCCGGAGTCAAGCGTGATCGTGAAGACGACGTGACACCCGTTGAAGAACCACCGGCTCACCGTGCACGTAATGTGGATTCGGAAGTGCTGTCGGTCGAGGAAGTCACCGAAGCTTGGAACGATGGCATTGAAACTCTCATTGCTGCTCACATCCAAAAGAAGCTCAGTAAGGAACTCCCACCTCATGGCAATCCACCAGAACTTCAAGCATTGGTTGATGAATCCAAGGTAGCTGAATGGGGAACCCTCGAAGAGAAAACCGCCATCAAGATTCATTATGGGAAAAAGGCTCAAGAGTTGAAGCGTCGCTTTCCGGATAGGTTTATTGGATCTCGGTTCGTAATCATTAGAAAGGCTGCGGAAGAGGGAATCGCCATCGATCCTCTCAATCCCTCGACCTACCGTGTGAAGAGTCGTTGGTGTCTTCAGGGCCATTTGGACCCGGATCTCGATGAGAAGGCTTCAACCGGATTGCTTCAGTCTCCCACCTTGTCTCAGATGAGTCGTATGCTGATCATGCAAGTGTTAGCATCGTATGGGTGGGTCCTTCAGCTCGGAGATATAAAAGGCGCCTTCATGGTGAACTTCCTCCGAAATTCAGGCCTCTGTTCGCATCCATGCCCAAAGGTGGAATCCCCGGAGTGCCAGCTGATGCTGTGATAGAGGTGATTGGAAACGTGTACGGCCAGAATGACGCGCCAAGCGCGTGGTACCGCACTTTCGATTCTGAGGCTCAACAGGCGGGTTGGCTCAAGTCGAAATTTGATTCTTGCCTCTATACTCTTAGAGATCCCAAGAACGGTTCCTTGTGTGGTGTCATGGGAGTGCATGTTGACGATACTGCAGTAAGTGGTTCAGGTCCCCTATTCGATTCGGCCGTTCAGAAATTGAAGGCTCGATTCCCTTACCGGAAGTGGCGTATGGGGGGAAGGTGAGTTCTGTGGTGCGTACTACCGACAGGATCCCGACACCAAGGGCATTTCGATGTCTCAACAGCAGTTTGCCGAGTCCATGCGTAGTGCAGCCATTCCAAAGGGAGCTGAAAATCAAGCTCTGTTGACAGAGAGCCAGGTCAGGTTGTTGCGAGGAATAAACGGTAGCCTCAACTGGCTTTCTTCTCAATCTCGACCTGATCTTGCAGTTCAGACAAGTCTAAGTCAGCAGTGTTTCCCAAAACCGACCATTCGCCATCTGAGAGATGCCAACAATGCTATCCGACGGGCCAAACAACATAAAGACTTGTGCATCTATTTTGCTCCTGTTCCTCCCAGTAATCTGACGTTGTGCTGTCATTCCGACGCGGCTTTTGCCAATGTTGGTGCTCACACCCAAGCCGGGTATGTGATAGCCTTTTGCGATCAAAACCTCAACGAGGGACAAGTCTCCTCGTGGTCTCCGGCCGTGTGGAAGAGCTACAAGCTCAGCAGGGCGCAGCTTCGGGTACAGTGGAATGGATGTGTTTGTTGCTAGCTGAGACTTTGGATGGTCCCTTTCAACCACTAGAAAGTAGACAGATCATGAGTAGACGAGCCCCAATCCTCATGACAGACTGTAAGTCTCTGTATGACCATCTGATTAGTCCATCAGCACCCACCGCAATTGAGGATCGTAGAACCAGCATCGATGTAGTTATCATCAGAGAGTCTCTTAAAAATACCCAAGGTATTATCCGATGGCTCCCTACTGATAGGATGTTGGCAGATGCTTTGACAAAAGACAAAGCTGACCCAGCCGATCTGCTGAGATCATGCGTCCGCGCCGCCTGTTACCAGGTTTCTCCTGAAAGTCTGATCCTAGAGCAACAAGCCGAGGAAAGAAGAAGACGTCAGCAACTGCGCCAGTCCAAGGACCAGGATAACCCGGTCCCAACAGATAATTAAGTTAGATGTAAGATACAATACTTGCTAGAGTGTCGGTGCTTGCAGCATTCGTCGTTTCTCCAAACTGAGTTCTTTTGCTGTTTTTGGACATGCTCGTTTTATTTTGTATAGAACCTGTCACTCAAGTGCCGAAGGGAAACTCTGTTCTCAAGTGATTGCGCACATCGGTTTTGCATGTTTTTGATGTTAATGTACCGCTCGTAGCCGTTCTTCGAAGCTCAAGAGTGTGTTTCGTGATCTTGTGACCCACTGTGACTGGGAACCATGCCGTTGAATGAGGCTGAGAGTCGCCAACTCCAACTTCTGTTGGCCAAAGCGAATGAACCCAATGTCGGAGCCGAAGATGGTGATTTCACCCTTGTGCAAGGTGAAGTCAACCGTGGGTGGGGCGCTATGACTGATGGTTCCAAGCGCCGTGAGGAGTCCAACCCCGGAGAACCAGTTCTCAAGCGTGCTGACAAGAAAGCCCCTTCTGGCTATTCGATGTCACCCGGCATGTCACCACCATGGAAGTTAGCCCCGGATGGCCCGATGAGCTCAATGGATGATCCTGATCTTCCTCACGAGACCTGTGAGAGTGTTCAAAGTGAAGGCAAGATCTTGAGTCTGCCTCAGGGAGTGGCCAGCGCTGAAGTATGGGGGAAAACCCTCATCACCAGCGGCCGCTTCAAGGGAGCCAACATGTCATATGAAGAATTGTGGTCCAACTCAGATCCATCCGTTGTGCAGTATAAGCAGTGGTGTTGCGCACGTGCCTTCTCGTTGACCGGCACCATGCGCGACATGTCTCAATATTTACTTTTCATGAATGGCAAGAGCTCGAGCTCCCAGTTCTCGGATGGCCCAATCATTCCGGGATCTGATGTCCGCCGTCAATACAAGACGGCAAAGTGAAGTGCTCGTTTCGCATTAAAGCCCACTTAGAGCAGCTCCTTTAGAAGATAGAAAACATAGAATATAAGCAGTGTCAATTGGCCATGTCTGCCACCAGTCACTTGCAGGGCTGTCGTGCACTTCCGTTCGTCCGAAGGCCATTTCGCGACTCGAGGCATCGCAGGAAAAAGGCCGCCTGGTCCGCAGGGTCGGACACCTTGGTAGGCCCCCCCCACCACGACCCCCCCACATGTTGATTCCATTGTAATTTACAGTGAAATTAAACATTTCTTCATGTTCAAATTCTGCATTCCATTCACAGTGTGTTTGTATGTTAGCATCAATATATATATATATATGTGTGGTGCACAAGAAGAAGAGGATCGTTGTGAGAGGCAAAGCAGTTTGGGTAAAACCCCACTATACCAAAACCCGGACACACAAGCTGCCAACCGGGAAGACAGTGACAGTGAAAGCTGGCACTCAAATCATTGACCGGTTTTGGGGACATATACGGTAATATTTGACATTTGCGGCTAGAAAGGTTGGCTCTGCTATTCTAGCTCGCAAGGTGCGCGCTGCACAGTGGACGTACTGGCACCGCACGCAGAACCTCTGGGCAGCCACAGGCCACATGCTCGAGGAGCTTCGTGGCTAGATTTCAACCTTCATGCTTTGGCGAAAACAATCTGCATCGTGCATTCCGGCTGCACTCTGCTCTATCACCAAGAACAAATGCCTCCTGTTGTCTAAATCAAAACTTCTCTTCTGAATTTATCTAATCGTCAACTGCCCAAACGTACATCAACCAAATCATGGCATGACAATTGAACCGATTTAAATCTGTTCACACTTGTATGAACTGTATCTGCTGTCCTTTACCCTGCAAACTTTAAATTTTCTTCCTAATGTTTCTTTTAAAACTCTCTTTGGGCACGGGGGGTCGGGGTGGGGGGGCTGAGCATATATATATAATATGAAATAAAAACGATCGGCTTCTTTGCCCCTAATTGATTTGTCCAGCGACGCCCGCACCGTGTCAACTTGCGGGCCGCAACATGTCGCCACCAAGCCGGCCGAGCACGAGAATGCCAAGGTCAAAACTCAAGATGGCTATGGCTCAAGAGAAAGGGTGCCATCCAACCTTGCTTGGTCACTATATAATTAGACTAAAAAGTCTAAGGAAGACTTGACAATATCCCAAAACCATCAAACCACCGGACCGCTGCGGATCTCTCCGGACCCACCGAGACCGCCGGCATCGCCATGTCGCAGCCGAGATCTCCCATCGCCTGGACGTGGAGGACAGCTCCGTTCGGGCGCGGCGGAGCGTAGCACGGTGTCCGGCTCGTTGGGTTTCATTTGGCTCTCTACTCTCAGGGGTTTGGGTGAGGCGTCGTACCCAGAGATATGTCTCACTCAGTGACTTTCTTGATATACAAACGTTCCTCCCGTCGTGTAGAAAGTTGTCCAGTGGAACGTCATTGGGTCCCTCACAGGTGTGTGCCAAAACGAAATACAGCAACCAACGAAAACACACTTCTTTTCGGAAAGTCTTCGCAGTGGAAAGGGGAACTATATATATACATATGTCTGTTAGATTCTGCTAGACCCTTTTTTCGAAAACGCATGTCATGCCGTCCATGCACAGACACTTCAATATCTTAGCTACCAATGGAAAAACTAAAGACAAAGCCAACTACTTTCAACTTATCGTCCATTCGTGGATTTTGAGTACATGTCTCGATGGAACGCTGTGACTTCCTGGTCTGCGGAACCACATTGAGTCTTAAATGGATTAGCGTACGACATCAGAAAGCTGTTTGGTTAAGTGCTGTTATGTTTGAGGGCGGTCCGAGCAAGGTTCCCGTTTGCATGTGTGAACTGTGGTCCAGTGGCATCTTTAAAACTTGCACTGTGGGGAACACCCTGGAGACCACTTGCTGTGGAGACTAGCCAAAAGACTTCGGATGAAGACCAATCCCCATTGACGCACACCACAAGCATACCTTCTCACACATCAACGGTAAAGCACCCAAAAAATACAAGTGGCAACATGCGAACCCACAAGAACTCAACAAAACACCACGCTGTGGCACGTGAGTTCCAGGAATCCAGCACCGTGGAGTGGCAAGAAATTCCGACGAGGACTCGCAGCAACCCCTGGCGGGAAGACCGGGTCGAACCTTCAACGCCTGCCGCCTGCGACCCGTGTCCCGCTGGCTCTGGAAAGACGTCCCGGTGCGCCCGCTCGGCGTCCGCGCGCAATTCCAGGCAGCCATCATCTCCGCCTCTTCCAGGCCTGCGAGCGCCAATCTCGTCAGGCGCCCAAGCGGCCTTCTGCGCGCCCCAAAAACCGCTGCCTTGGGAGGCTCAACTATCCACATGGCCTTTCCCTGTCGAAGGAGGTCTGCGGACGAACGGTTTCGGTCCTGGGATGAGGAACATGGCGGCTTTTTCCAGCGACCTTTTCTGATTTCATGCGACTGCAGGTGTTTTTGTTGAAGAGCTTGGAGCTGGAAGCTGTGCTGGACCAATCCGCGGGATCGGGAATGACACCCCACGTATGGGATGTATGCCTACGTTGACCCCCGAAACCACCCCAATGTCGGCAAATAGGCTATACATGGAGTGTGTGGGATGCAATTCCGTCGGGGGAAGCAAAGTGAACAGCTATGAATCAAGAGTGAATTTCTAGTAATCAGGTGGTTTCCTCCCCACAAACAATGGAATAGCGCAAGAGCTTCTTACTTCAAAAGCAAGCCGTGCCCGTTCTCCCCACGCCCGTCCGTTCGACCCGGTCAAAGGCTTCTCGCGGCTTCATGAACGACCCGGCCCGTTCATCCCTTTGGGCACTTGGCCTGAAGCAGAAATGAAGACCAATTCCAGCCGTTGCGCACTTGGGTACCGGACTAGGAGCATTGCTGTCCTCTTGCTTGGAAAGCTGCAGCATGTCCTGCATGACAAGCACTGGACATGTGACACCAGCAGCAGCACCACCCACAAGCACAACCGCCACGACCAAGGACAAAATCAAGCGTGAATTGATTCATCTACCAACTTTCCCCCAAAAAAATGACACTGGAAGATCCGGAAGATAGACCATTCACAACATGTTGTTCTCCAATGGATCGCTTCCTTCCCAAATGCAGAGCCAGTCTTTCAGGAAGAAGAGCACTTGTGCGTTCAGGTCGAAGAAGGCTGGACACCCCTATGTAGGTCGAAGAAGCCGTCCAACCAGACAAAGGTGCTTTTCTCTGCGATTCGTTCCTGGTGTCTTATATTCGACCACAACAATGTCCTGGCTGTGGTGCCAGTGGTCTTCCTTTCCACGTGGAAGTAAGGAATGGGTATAGTAGGAGATACCATACCACCCAAGGATTCCACGTCAGACCTGATTTAGGATTATATAGGATGAGTAGGACTTGTTCCTTGCTGAAGCCAAAGTGAAGACCCCCGCGACACGTGTTTCTCCCGCGTTTGGCTGCTGAAGGCCAGTTGGGAGGCCGTTACAATCAAGGCTAGCATAGCTCATTCGATGGCACGGTCTAGTTTTCTGATATCCCAACGTCATACTCATCTCCTTGCTGGGACCGGAATGAAAAGAGCATGCATTTGCTTGTTCAAATTCACAAAAATCTGAATAAACCTTGGGAAAAGGGATAAGGTTCTTTTCCAAGGACGTGTCAGTGTCAAACAGGACACCCTTGCATCTTCTTCCCCAAGAGAAACAACACAGAACATGATCCACTCTTTCCAACAAAACCACGGTCGGACTCAGTGGCTTCAAACTGGAAAATCCTGCGTTTAGCTTTGTCAAGGAAAACAATCGTTTGATATCTTTTAAGGGACCATGTTCCCCTTGTGGTGAGCCGGACTCTATGGTCATAAGTCTGAGAATACAAAAGGCAAAAAATACAATTTGCTGCGTCGCAGACGGTTTCGCGGCAGGCGCGGTGTGGATTTCGCGCTCCAGGAAGGAAAGCCGCTCAATGCCATGCTTGGCATACTTGGTTCGACAAAGCCTGAGACACGGAAGAACGCCCAAAATGCGGTCATTCCCCAATCAAACTGCGGGTCCGGGTGTTTCCTCAAAACGGGCAGGGAAAATGAGGAAAAGGGGGTTAGACTCGTTCCCAGAAAGTCGGTCTTACCACCACGGATGGTTTTTCAAGATGGGGCCCCCGATATTCCAACTGTTCTGCATGGGCCCTGCATGGGTTTCATGTTCGATTCTTTGTTCGTCGATGGCGATGGAAAGCGCATGGGTTCCGTCTGATTGGGATTTCTTGAGTTCTCATCGGAACCCGAGGAGAAAACCAGACCGCATGACTGACCCTCTTGTTGTCATCAGACCGCGAACGCATACTCTTCCATCGGGGGCTCTTGGTGTTTCCTGGGTGTTCATAACCTCTTTGAAGACTGCAGGTCTGCAAATGCGCAATCTATAGTATACTAATCAAAGTTGTTCAACTGTGAAAGCATGTGCGTGAAACAGCAATGACAAGCCCCCTACAAACAGTGCAAGAAACTGTTATAGCACCTGACCGTCACTCGTCGAATAAAAGGATCCAAAATGCAGTGGCAGCACTAAGAGCATCACCACGCCACAGTGGCATCCCAGAAACAAATTAGAACATTGCGGAGACCATTTCTTACTGTGAAAGGCGCAATGTTCCTGATTTTCTTGCTGGGCCCTGGGCCGCCCTACTACTCGTCACTAGAGCCACTCACAAGCTACAAACGAGTTCCGCCCACTAGTCCTTGTCTGGTCTGGATCGAATGACATGCTTCTGACATACAATCCCTTGAACGTTGTTGCGGGGAACTGCTTTGATTCCCCAATAGCCATGCTATGGGGTCTTGCAAAACTAATAGGCGGACGGGCGCCGTCGGGTCACCGTCAGAGCTGGTGGGCGGATGGTGTCCCGGTCATGTTTTGATGGTGTCCCGATCATGTTTTGATTGTGACCCAGTCATGTTGTGATGGTGTCCCGGTCCTGTTTTGATGGTGTCCCGGTCATGTTTTGATGGTGTCCCGGTCATGTTGTGATGGTGTCCCGGTCATGTTTTGAAGGTGTCCCGGTCATGTGATGGTGTCCCGGTCATGTTGTGATGGTGTCCCGGGCATGTTTTGATGGTGTCCCGGTCGTGTTGTGACGGTGTCCCGGTCATGTTTTGATGGTGTCCCGATCATGTGATGGTGGCGCGGTCATGTTGTGATGGTGTCCTGGTCATGTTTTGATGGTGTCCCGGTCGTGTTGTGACGGTGTCCCGGTCATGTTTTGATGGTGTCCCGGTCATGTTGTGATGGTGTCCTGGTCATGTTTTGGCGGTGTGCCGGTTATGTCTGGTCATCTTGTGATGGTTTTCCCGTCATGTCATGTTGGTGTCCCGGTCACCTTGAGATGGTGTCCCGGTCATGTTGTGATTGTGTCCCAGTCATGTTGTGACGGTGTCCCAGTCATGTTGTGATGGTGTCTCGCTCATGTTGTGACGGTGTCCCGGTCATGTTTTGATGGTGTTCCGGTCATGTTGTGATGGTGTCCTGGTCATGTTTTGGCGGTGTGCCGGTTATGTTTTGATGGTGTCCGGGTCATCTGACGGTGTCCCGGTCATGTTGTGATAGTGTCCGCGTCATGTTGTGATGGTGTCCCCGTCATGTCATGCTGGTGTCCCGGTCACCTTGTGATGGTGTCCCGGTTATGTTGTGATGGTGTCCCAATCATGTTGTGACGGTGTCTCGGTCATGTTTTGATGGAGCCCTGGTCATGTTGTGATAGTGTCCCGGTCATGTTGTGATGGTGTCCCCGTCATGTCATGCTGGTGTCCCGGTCACCTTGTGATGGTGTCCCAGTTATGTTGTGATGGTGTCCCAATCATTTTGTGACGGTGTCTCGGTCATGTTTTGATGGTGCCCTGGTCATTTTGTGATGGTGTCCCGGTTATGTGATGATGGTGTCCAAGGAAGAGATGGTCGATGTGTTGAAAACAGCAGCTGTTTCCAGATTTTTCTTTTTGTCCCGGTTTGTATCTTGCTATTGGGGTCTCCAGCTGGGCTAATTCTAAGTGCAGGGATTTCATGATTCTGCTTTAAGAGTAGCTTCCTCCAAATATTAAGAATAGAGTCGAACTTTAGGTGGTTGTCCCTGGGTATAAAGTCCTCATCTAGTTACTAGTTGCAGTACTATAGTTATGGAAAAGGTTGTCCCAGATAATGACAAGATTGACAAGCAAGCAGCGCTCAAGGAAGGAAAAAAAATGTCCACCAAAATGATACAGGTACACTCTCTGTAAGTAAACGTGCATCATCCTAGTCTCTGCTTGAATCACACAAACAGAAACAACATACACAGTTTGGCCATGCTTGGCCATGCTTTGCCCTTGAATTCACTGGGCTTGGTGACTATAACACCCCATATGGTCTGTAGCCCATCCAACGGCTGTAGTGCCCCACTCATCCGCGTGCTGCTGTAAAGCAGTGAAGTTGCGGTGTAGCTGGAGCACCTGTCGGAAGCCAAGGCAGGTGGCTATTGTCGAAGGATGTCAAAGAATCCTGCCTCTGTGATTTGGGCATTACTTCAAACTCAAGTCAACCTCCTCAAGCGAACCGTGGGCCCTTTTAGGAGGCGAATTCTGTGGAGAATCCTTTTTGGTCAACCATCAAACCTTCAGCTGCCATCTGTGGCCCCACATCTTCCACAAGGCGGGTGTGTTCGAAACACCAGGATCCGAATGAATGACTCAGTCTTGTAGCTGCTTGGAATCCGACTAAGTGGACCACGCATTCGTCCAAACGGTCACACGGGTCCCATCTCCCAGCGCCCGGCAAGAGCGACCCTCCAACCTGGTCCCGGGGCTGGCCGTTGAATGGATGCCCGGAAAAGGAGGGCGGTTGTTCGAAAGAAAGCCCCTCTTCGCCTGGGTCTCCAGGAAGCCATTCAACCGGCAATAGCGACCATCCCAGCGGACGTTCGAGCCTCAGTGAGCGAGGCCGCGACGCTCCCGTCTCGGACGAGGAGCCACGACGGACGAGCCGCCGGTGCGCCCGGCATCCGGTCATAACGGGGCGATCGACCTAGTCACCGGACCGACCCATTCATGTAGATCGATCTGCATGATGAATGACTGGTGAAGGAAACCCTCCTCTCCGGTTTGGCATCTACGTTTGGGGAATGCTTTTTCAATGTGACTCAAGACTACATGACATGAAAAAGAGAGAGGCTTCCGTGACAATCGCTTTCTGCGCTCCGACACCTCGGTGGTAGGTGTCAACCGCGGTTTTCAAGGCGTCCCGACTCATGGAAGGGTGATTAAAGTCGATGCCCTTCGCGAAGTAGAGGTAGTCCTCCAGAAATGTGTGGACTGTTTTTCTCTGAAGTTCTCCCTGCGCGCTCTGCGCGGTGTGTAATTCTGTGTAACTATAATATGTTGCTTCAAGCAAGTCTGAGGTTCATTATAGAGTCCGAGGCCTTTGTACAAAAACTGCTGGTCATGGCCGTTACGTTCACTGGAGAAAATCCCTAGCCATCCCTAGCCCATTCTTCGAAATAGACATTGGAGCACGAGAGGGTGAACAACGGGGCACTTCAGAGTCCACCCTCCACCCTCGTCTTTTTGTCTGCATCATCGGCTCGAAGAGTGACACCCAAAGACGAGAAAACGACTTCCGGAGAGACCCTTGACGCACGTCGAAGTCGACTGTGAACCCTGTCCTTGCAGTGTTTGGAACGCTGATTTCTTCTTCGTCCCCAGCGACCGAAACCGACCCGAGCGGGCACCGCCGGCGCGCACCGCCCACGCGCGGGCCGATGCGCGGAACCTGGTTGGCCACGGCATCGGCACCTGAGCGGCATGTGTGCTGCACGGTCATGGAATAGCATCGGATGGCAGAAGAGTTCCATGCTCCCCGAAATCGAGGAAACACCTTGGCGAGATGAAGCACCACAGGATCTTGAAGACATCTGCAGACCTGACATGCCTTCCCAACAACCTTGATGCTGCTATTTCATGCTATTTCTAGGAGTTCTTCCTCTTTTCACTGCAGCTGCATGGAATCCACCATATTCTCATGGCCGGACTCGCCCCGGGCCATCGGAGTCGATTCTCCGGAGTCGTCCTCCGCCGGAGCACCGGCCAATCCGGTTCCTCGTGTTGTTCCTCATTCTCCGAGAGGCAGCTCTTGGCAAAGTTCAGGGCACAGAAGCCTTCCGCCGCACCACCTGGAACGGGCCAACGGGCCACGTGCGAGCGAAGAGGCGAAGAGGCGAGGAGCGGGTTGGAATGGTGCCGATCCCATGTGGTTTCTTCGGAATGGGGACGAAGACGGAATGGAGATTGGACATGGACACCTCGCTCGTGGTGTTTGGAATCTGTCAGGTGGCTAGCACTCAACCCTTACACCTAATGGGCACCAAGCATAGTTGGAGTTCTTGAGGTCACTTGAGGTACTTACGCCCATGGCGAGTCTTCAGAATGGTCGTTGCGATGTTGGTTCGATGGCTTGGTCGAATCGTCCATCCTCCAATTAAGACCGCGTCTGTGGTCCTTGGAACCCTGCTTATACCTTTAACCTCCGGTTCCCGAGTGCAGTCTATTATTGTCTTATCTCCAAAGCCTGGGTTGTTTCAACAGTTTGTGCAATACCTCATCCGACCTTGTCCAAAATACATAAGGACGGTAGCAAGCTGCAAAGGCTTCCACTTCGCCACTGGTGGTCTTGGCACTGATGCAAACCCGAGCTTTAAATGCTATAAATAGCACTAACCTAAACCCTAGCCTTCCAAGATCATTCAAGCAAGGTCGACCTCGTTTTGTCGTTTAAAATCGCAACGCCATGTTTGTTCGGAAAAAAAGAAAAGAAAGAAAATCAGTGGTTGGAAGGGTGTGTGTATATAAGATTATCATCTGTATCTTTGTTTCTATAGAGCTCTGCTGTGGATCGACATCTCCCTCCTCCCTGGATCGGTCCGAACTCGCGAAGCGCGTGAGACCGGCTTCACACGGCGCCTCCCAGTTGTACTGCAGGCAAAGCCATGATATCCAAGCCTCAGAAGATCTGTATACAGGCCTTTTTTTGTACAGATGATATAATATATATAATAGAACAGACCCTATATATATATATTGTACGTTTGTATACCAAATGATATACATATACAGAGTATACAGAGCTCATGGCTCAGTTGTTGTGACATGGCAACGTTTGATCCACTCAGCCGGCCGCAACTTCTGGAGGAGAGACCTCCCATGGGTCCGCTGGGGTCTCAAGCTGGGTCCACTGGGCGAGCTGTACTTCCCGCAGTCCTTCCGGAAGGCCTCATATGGCCTGGCGAGGGGCTTGGAGTCCGTGAAGACCATGTGTTTCACATGGTGACAAAACCCCGCGCTTTTCGTTGATTGGCTCGCCACTCTAGAGCTGTGTTGTTGAGGAAAAGACACTGAACAAGTGAGTGCCGGCAGCATGAACAAGTGCAACAGCGATCATTCTCTCGGTCGGATTTGAAGCCTACTTGGATAGGTCGAGGAGTTAGAAGTTGTGTCGACTGTCACCAGTTACCAGGCGTATCAAGCGGGTGGCAAATCCCCACCAAGAACTTTCTGAGGGGTCCGCTATCCATTAGAGATGGCTAGCAGTGTTGTCTCCAAGACGACTGGCTGATGTGTTTACATGGGTCTCTGCAAGGAGGGTTGTAGGTGTTGGAAAAAAGAGAAGAGAAACTGGGCAAACAGAACATCCTCTCAACAAAATGGAAACAATGAGTAGTGCTGTACTACTGCAATGTTCAATCCTAAAATAGTTGATTGTCTCACCCATTCCACACAACTGTTTGCCTTTTGGGTGGCCCTTCCTTCTACTGCAACGAGAGAACGAACACCTCCAGAGATGGTAGCATCACTTCTTTCGAGCGTCAAAGACTGAAAAAAACATAGAAACCAACGGGAGGACATAGCCCATCTACTGTCATTCTCTGAGAAACATCTCCACTTATGTTCCTGCTCGGTGTTCCCGCGAACGTGTTACCTCAAACAACCGTCCACTGCGGTCCCCCAACGTCCGTTCTTGGGCCCCACCGAGTGATCCGCTCAGGCAAGGGTTGGTTGCAAAGCATGCAGACCTGTACCACAGAGACAGGCTGAAAACTCACACCGGCCGTGCGAAACAAAAGGTGAATGTGTCCCGACCTCCCGGGTCTGGTGGTATACAGATCCCCCCCAATATGGGCCCCCAAGATGGTTGGTGGTGCTTCTAGTTGGCTGAAAAATGCATCTTTGCCCGGAATGAACGTGGTGCCCGTCGATTCTGGGCGGGGTTTGGGGGGGGAGGTGTTTGGCGGCTCGGACGCCTCCGATTCGGAGCGTCTACTTGCGTGTGTATGGGCAAGGACCTGGAAGGTTCAGGACATAGACCAATCTGCCCATGGGGCTAGGGGGTCTCACCTTCTGAAAAGAGGTGTGGAAGAGTAAAGCCGCTCAGCGGCAAAAACCAAGTGAGTGAGCTTCCAAGCGAACATGTCAAATGACCCACTGGGAACTGCACCAAATGATCCCTTCTCGCTGGCTGGAGCTTGGCAAAAAGACCCCGCGAGGCAGTTCCTTTTTCTACACACTTGGTTTGCTGAAAAAACACCTCTTCCACCCTTCCTGCAGTCATAAGACAGAAGGTCGTAAAACCCTTCAAAAACCCTTCCATAAAACCTGTAGACCCTCCAAAAGGTCGTCACCGCGAAGCCTTCGCCTTTCTGACCTCTTTTCCGCTTCAACCGATGCGGCGGGCGGCGGGCGGCCTTACCGTTGTGATCGACCGACATGACGTGGTCAGATTGGACGGGCTCTTCCTGGTGGCCAAGACAGGTGACGTGAGGCCGGGCCGAGCCGTGAGAAACGCTGGGAGAGGTGCATGGTGGTGGTCACAGAAAGAGTGGGAGTCATATCTTGGAGGACGTGAACCTTCCAGACGATCGAAGAGTTACAATAGTTACAGAGTTGCATAGAGTTACAAGACCTCGCGACTACCTCCAACCTAATAGATCTAATAGCGATGGCCTGGCAACCTAGTAGCGATGTAATAGCGATGGCCTCCACCCTAGTGGCGATGGCCTGCAACCTAATAGCGATGGCCTCCACCCTAGTAGCGATGGCCTCCAAGCTAACAGCGATGGCCTCCAAGCTAACAGCGATGGCCTCCAAACCTAATTACAACAATGGCAATCGGATACACTAGCAATCTTCTCTGAAGACTAGGGATCTTTGAGACAAAGCGACCTGCTGCCACTACATGTGTCATCCCCGTGGCTGCTCACTATTGCCCACTGGTGTCCGAGGAATGCTGCCTCTAGAGTTTTGGTGGCAGCCGGCAAACCCAAAAAAAATACGGATGTCTAAGCAACAACAGGCAGAGACGCCGCGCCACTCACTACCACGCCAACACGCTGACACCCCGCTCTTCATCGGCTCCTGCTTCACCGGGCCACGGTGCTGTGTGAATTGAGTCCTGCAAGCGCTGCCAGGTGTGGGCAGTCCCCAGCCCTTAGGCCCAGAAGGCTGAACGTGTTCACGGCTATGTTCGGACAAATCCTCCAGTCGCGAACCTGGGACAAATCCATCGAAGAAACACTCGGGGATGGAGAACAAAGGTGAAAAGCACTTCATTCCAAGGCAAGCCTTGCAGGTCTCGGACCAAAAACAAACGCCACTGAGAGCACCAAGGTCACCTTCACATCAAACCCCCCCAAAATGCCCAGCTTGAGAGCTCGGCTCAATCTTCAAAACCTATCTATCCCAGCTTCTTAACGGTTCAGAACCTCCCTCCACCTGGAGCCACGTCCGATCACGCTGGGTCGCCCCGGCTGGAGCAGTCGGACGTCCAGGAGTTCCGACTCTGACTGGGCGGGGGCGCCAACGGGGGTCGTAGATGGGCCTGGGTGGAAGAACTCCAGCTCGAAGGGTAAAGGGTAAATGTTAAAGGTGTTTGACTCAAAATGGATCAACATGGTCTCTTTAAAAAGAATTCAACTGCAAGGAAGATTATGATAGTTAGCTTGAATTCTCTAAGCGACACATAAATTAGGAGAGCGGATTGCGCTGGGGGGTGGGTTTTTAATTCATAGGTTTTTTAGTGATTTCTAGCTTATTGTTTGTTAATGTACAGATGTGAGGCATTTCCAGATGATTGGAAGCAGATGATGCAGTTGCAAGATGTGTTTCTACTTTCTTTTGTCAGAGCCAGCATGACAGTAAAGAAGATGATTTTTGGAAGAATGCATAAGGATACTACCACAGTCAAGTCATCTGCTGCAGACAATGCAAGCAAGGAGTTGGCGCTAAGACATCTCATTTTTCCGCGCTAGTTCTGTTCCAAAATCTAGTTCTAGCAAGCATATGCTTTGCTTACCTTAGACACAGCTTTCTTGAACTTGTTCAAGTAGCTGGCCTTGTTTTCAGCCACAGCTTGGTTGTGCAATTTGGAAAAGTACAGCACCTTAAAAGTGTGGCGAATTGCACGTGCCTCATTCAAAATCCGTGCATAATTGCGAAACCAAGAGAAAACTTGTTCGCAAGCCGACGTATTTGTCTTCGCAAATCGCCGAGACAAACGCTTGACGTAGAGTGGATTGTACACGCAAGTCTTCTTGTGCCTGTGGGCGTGGAACTTGTCAAGGCTCCAATATTTGATTTGGGAGAGGGACTTCTTACTTGCATGAGTCGGTGCGAAACCACAGACACGGTCCATGATGAATCCATTGACTTTCTGGTACAGAGGCAAGACTTTCTCCAACGACTTCTGGACCACTGGGTTGTTCTCCGGCTTGTCCATGGCAACCACACAAAGAATTCGTTGATCCTGCGGGTTGACTAGCATGAACCATCCATGCCCAAAGGGTTTCAAAGAACCGTCTTTCCGAGGTCGTCCTGCATGTGTGGTAGTTTCGCCACATTTGATGTGGACCTTCGAGTGACCATCTCCGACAAGTTCAGTCACTGATGCCCTCTTTTTGGGTGGGAAAGCAACCTTGTGCACATAGTCATCATACTTGCGGAGCGCAGCCTCTGAGACCAATAAGGCCTGCGTTCGGGACCAATAAGCTTTTGGCCATTGACTTGGACTACTGCTTCGGCAAATGTGAGTTTCCCGTCTTGGTCTCCAAGGTCTCTGTTGAAACCATCCCCTGCACCAAGCTGAAGTGCCATGGTAGGTGACAATGAGCACAAAGAAGACGTCAGGAAGCGGATGAGAGCAAATCAGATTTGAGAGCAAAATCTAGCAGTGGAAGAATCAAATGACATGGAAGTGACATCAACTACTGCAGGGACATGCATGAAAAATACCTTCAATGACAGAAGCCAGCAAATGAAGATCTTTTGTGAAACATTGCTCAGAAGTTGCATATTCAATTCTGACGTTCCAAGGAGATGAGATGTAGAGGTTCAGAATGCAGCAGATAAGAGGATGACCTGTCAGGAGTTCCAGATGCGTTGATAAGTGCATTTCTCCCAAGGAGAAAACAACACTCAAGAAAATAGAGAAGTCTGCAGAGGACCAAAAAAACCAAAAAAAAC